TGCCTCTGCCTTGCCTTCTTCCCATACTGCATCCTGGTGCCAGGTGTTCCCCAGGTAGGTGAGGCACAGGCACCCGGTCGTCCACATGATGTGAACGTGTCATTCATCAGTCCAGGCCACCTTCTTCCATTGCTCCATGCCCATTCTTGGCACTTTCAGTGATGGACAGGGTTTAGCATGGGCACCCTGACTGATCAGATCCCCAATACTCAACAAACTGCTATGCACTGTGCACTCTGACACCTTTTTTGACATTTTGTCTGTTTAATCAAACCAATAACCCAATAAGTACTGCAATTTTGGAAATGTTCTAGCCATCACAATTTGTCTAACTCGCTCAAATCCTTACACTTGAAGGCAAAATGTTCATTTGCTCCCAAATGTCTCCTCCTTACGAACAGATGGCATGAAGTGATACCAGTGTTGTTCACTTCACTTGTCAGTGGTAATTTTGTTATGTCTGATTGGTGTGTATATAGTTATTAGTCAAACCTGATCAAAATAAAAAAAAGTTAAAAAATGTTGCTGATTCTGTACCAAAATAAATTTTCAAGCTTTTTCACACTTGGAAATTGGATACAAAACAGCAGGAAAGCAGTGATATCAGGATTTTCTTTGTTCTGCATATACTCTTCAGTATATAACTGTGTGAGTAATATTTTTGTATAGGTTAGAGGTTTGTATTTGGTGCTATCTAAAGTTACCTGGTCATAGTTTCCAGTAAATTTAAAGGCTTGAACTCCGAAGTTGAATGCAGTTTTATCAGATGGGTAAATTGTTACCGTCTCGTCTTCTACACACCTGAAAGAAGGTTTAGGTCAATCGTATGAAGCAATGTAAATGGAAGATAACATTTAATAATTGTAAGTTGTAGTAATTAGTTTTGCTATTTAATGTAGCTAAAATACACTCCTCTGAAAATATTATCGACAATTTAGTTGTAAGGAATTTTAAGCATTTTTTAAATTTTACAGCACTTTTTTTGCATCAGCACTTACCCATTCCTGATGATGTAGTACGAGAGGCTGTTTTCAGGGTTGTTATCAGGAGTGGCTTTGCACGACTCAACAAACAACATCACGTTTGGTAATTCTGAACTAGCTTGGATGCCCATAAAAATAGTCTCCAGCAGCTTGACTTGTACTGGATAGGCACTGGCCTCCACTCTATTTGTAAAGCTGCTGTTGTGGAAAATTTCAAAAGTGTAGCCAAAGCTTCCGAAGTTGGACTCGGTGAAAATGTAGTCAGCGTTGTGGAGATTGTAGTAATTGGAGATGCTGATGGATTTGGGAAACTGGCATGAGAAACCGATTTTAACCGTCTTCCTTCGAGTTATAACCTCGTTAGCCAGCTCAAAGGAGTTGATCACATTCTTGAAAACGATATAATCACCTTTATCCTGTATTTAAGACAAACAAAGGAAAAGCAATTAGTTGCCGTGAGGATAATGAACAACGGTTGTGATGTTGTTCTGTTCAGTGT